ACATAGCAAGACCATTTCTCAAAAAAAGAGGAAAGAAATAAATTAAGTTAAAAGATACTAAAACATATCTTGCAGAAATGAACAAATCAAGCCAGGCATGGTGGCATGCAGGAGGCTGAGGCAGGAGGATCACTGCAAGTTCGAGGCCAGTCTGGGTTACAAAGTGAGTTCAAGGCCAGCCTGACCTGCGTAGTGAAAGCTTGTCTTAAAAAGACAAAATAGGGCTGGGGATACAGCTCATCGGTATAAGTGCCTGCCTGGCAAGCACAAGGTCCCAAGTTCAATTCCCGGTAACCAAAATAAAATCAAAAAGCCAAAGCAAAACACAAAAAACACAGAAATTAAAAAATCAAGTAGTTATTAAACGTATACATTAAAATTTTTAGTAATGTAATTAATAAGTTCAGTAAGTGAAGGGGTTTGTCTATACCTAAGGAATTGTTCATTTAATAACTATTTGAAAATATCAATGTTTGCCCTATAAAAATGATCATTTCATATTATACAATCTGTAGCCTATATGTTTTTGCTTTTGCTTTTATTTTTGAGGCAGGGTCTCACTGTAACCCAGGCTGGATTTAAACTCACTATGTAGCCCAGGTTGGCCTCACATTTGTGGCAATCCTCGTGCCTCAGCCTCCTGAGTGTTGAGATTACAGCATGCACCGCCATGCCCAGTTTATAGCTTATACATTGAAGGCATTAAATTAACTATTAGATATAAAATAATGAGCACAATGTTTAATTTGGTCTCCTTTGGGTTTTTTTTTTTTTTTTTCGTCTACTAACAGAGTAGCTGTTTCACTTGTTGGTTATCATGAATTAACATAGCAAAACTACTCTGACCCCACGAGCGTGCTTGTGACGCGTAGGGTCTCGATGCCTGTGAGCCTGACCTCAGAGCGGCCGCGTGGGCCTGCGCCTCGCGTGGTGAGGAGCTCTGGGCGCCCCGCCGCCCAATCTAAATTCCTGCCGGACTCACTTGTGATTTGATGCCACCTGGTGGTAGTGGTGGACCCATTTCTACATAGCACTGGGGACGATTCTGAGTCCAGCGGCGACAGCTTTGGCATCCCTGCCTCCACTTCTGGCCTCGTGAGCAGGCCAGATCCAAGTTCACCTGGGAGAGAGGAGGAACCGGAGGCTGGGCCTCCCCAGTCTTCCTGAAGCTGCTGTGCGTCCTGTCAAGGCCTTGGCCCCTACTCCACCTGCCCCCGGCACGGAATTCCTCACCCCACCCCAACCCGCAGGGGCACCTGCCCCGAGAGAGGCCGGGCAGGCAATGTTCTGCGTGACGTGTCAACTACAGCTATAATTATATTTTGGAGGAGTCATGGGGTTTTACTGTGCTTATCAAGGACTCCAAAAGATCACAACATTTTGTATTTTAGAGACTTAGTTACAGCAATT